CCTGCCGTGGGGGCGGGGGGCTCCCCCAAACCCAGGAGGCAGAGTTGATCGAGAGCCAGCTGAAGGGCGCGCTCGTCTTCCAGCAGCCCTCGGTCCTTAGCGCTTCCCCCGAAACATCCTAGTTCTCCAAAGCCCCCATTTCTTTCCATTATTCCAGATACCACTAGACTAGGCATGGCGAAACAAAAGCTGGGGGAGAGAGAGAGAGGGAGAGAGAGAGGTGGTGGAAGGGAAAAGAGGAGAGAGGAGGGGAGGGGAGAGGAGAGGAGGGGGTGTGTGGGGAGGGGGAACAAAGAACTGGGGAGGGGGGAAGAAAGCGAGATAGAAAGATAGACCCTCCCCCTAAGCCCCCCTCCCCAAACACCCTGTAACCCGACTCCCCTCGCCCCAGCCCCCGCGGTGGGGGTGGGGGGAAAGAGAAGCGAAACCCAGAAAGCAGATCTGCTCTCCTCTCCGGGGTGACGGGGGGCGGGGGGCTGCGGGATCTCTGCCCCCACCCTCCCGCCTCGGGCCCGGGAGTCTCTAGCCTCCGCCGTCCAGACGCCCCCCTCAGGCTCCCGCAGCGAGCCCCAGTCCTGGAGCGGCGCTCGGCGGCCCCCAGCGGAGCCCAGCCCCTTCCAGCGCTCAAACTCTTTTGTTTTAAATGAACTGGATGGAGCAGCATGGAGCGGGCGGGAGGGGGCGCGCCGGGAGCCCGGGGCATGCCGGGAGTTGTAGTTCCCGCCCGCGGGCGCGGGGACCAATGCCCGACCCGCGGAGGAGAGGGCTGCTCTGTGCAGTCTCCACCCGCGACTCCGAAGCAGCGCTGGGGCATGGGAGGGACGTCGAGTCCCCGCTGCTTAAGGCGCAGAAGCGAGGAGAGGGGGCCGTGTGCAGAAATGCGCCGAGAGCGCAAGGGCTTCCACGGCTTGCCTCTCGGAGGCCGGGTCCTTGCGTCCCAGCGGGTCCCGGGTCTTTTTCTTATGGTAATAAGGGCCCGGGGCGGGAGCGGCCCCCTCGGTCACCGCGGCCCCCTCCCTCCCTTCCCGCCCTCCGCTCCTCCGGAGGCGCTCGGGCTCCCGGCGCGGGGACTCCTCAACCGAGCAGACAAAGCCCGCGGCCGCGATGGGGCCGGACAGGTCTCTGCGCTGCGTGGGGACCAGGAAGGGGTGCCGGGCTGAGGTGGGGCGCCGGCAAAGGATGGGGTCCCTCTTCCTCGAGGAGCAAGCTGTGGCCCATTACGCCCCCTCCCGGCCCCCAGTTTCGGAGATCCCTGAGGCTCCGGCTGGGAGGTGAGTTAGTTCGCGTCCCTGTGAGCAGCGAGGGGGCGGGAGGCTGTGGAGTGGGAAGAGGCGGAGGATGAAGGGTGGAGAAGAGGGGCGGAGGATGAGGAGGCCGGGCGAGTCTAAAGGCTTGGGGTGGCTTAGGAGTTGGGGATGAGGGCCTTGAACTTTGGCTGTGCCCAGAGGAGGAAGGAGAAACTGGCGATGCGCTGGGAACCCCGGCTTTCGTGCACGCATGGGCCGTGAATACAGTCTGGGGGTGATTTGTTCCTTAGCAGCCCTCCTCATTCCCTTCTGCTTCACTCACCTCTCCCGTCGAACACCCGTTCATTCAGCCCCTTTGACGCTGGAAATTCGGTGAGAGTGCAAATACATTTTTAAGGCTTGACGCTTTTACAGAGAGTTTGAGAAAGTTGGGAGAGTAATGCAGTATTTTTTTTCTGACCCCATATCAACATTTTTTTCCCTACCCTTTTAAAAAATGCCTGAGTTTTTCGCAGCAGCTTGAGAGCTTGAGGTCAGACTCTAAGATGCACTTTCTAAAAGTTTCATGGAATGGTTGGGAGAGCCATGGGCGGTAAGGTGTCCTTTTTTTGGAGTGCCTTGGCAAGGGAAACGGATCGAATTCGGGAGGTGAAGTCCTACTTGGAGGCAGAGAATGACCTCACCAACGTGGCACTCTGAGGCACTGAAGACTGGGGTGTTTAAGCCCAGGCTCCTAAATTGATTCTTGGAAAGAATAAATTTGCATAGCAATGGGAAGGGGAGGGTCACCCCCGGGCACAGAGGTGGCACACAGTAGGGCTCCTTCTCCTGTGCTACGCAGGGAAAAAGAACGTTGGGCCGAGGAACCCTTAAGTCCCTGGGGTTGAGATGGGTGCCTCATAGACTGAAGATTTAACACAAGATTAACCACAAATTTTATTGTGGGGTTGGTGGGCTGCCAGGGGAGGGGGAACTGGACAGGCAGGACCTTGAAGAGTGGGCTGTTGCTGACCCTTGTTCCTCTTGTTTGCCTTAGGAACCTGAATTGGAGGAACTATGGTATCAGGGATCATGGGACTCTCTGCTGGGGGAAAGTTTCTGCTGTGGACCAGGTGACTGTTTTTCATGTTAATAGAAATAGCAAATGGTTGCATAGGACTTATTGTGTGCCATGCATTTTTATGGTGCCACCAGCTGGCTTGAGCTTTCCTGTCCCCACCGAAATGAGATTCCCCCCAGACGCCCACCCTGAGTTCACTCTGCCGCTGCTTTCTTCCACTAAGCCAATTAAAGCAGGAGGTTAATGATCAAAGAAGCCCTGGAGATTTGACCAGGGAAGAAAACAAAAGACAGAAATAAGTGTGTGAGAGTGGGAAGGGTGCAGTGGGCAAGGTTGAGTCCCTGCCAGAGCCACCTCACCCATGGACAGCGATGAACCAGCGCCGTAGGTGTGTTAGTGTCCACCCTCAGGGTCACGTGTGACTCCAGGCAGGTATCCTGTAAGGCACGAGAGGGGCACATGGGAACCTGACACCTGGAGAGCAGGGTGTGTGAGTGCACTTACATATAACCTGCAGAGGGGCTGAGGATTTAGCTCAGCGGCACAGCGGGTGCCTGGCAAGGCACAGCGCCTGCCTGGCAAGCGCAAGGTCGTGAGTTCAATTCCTGGTGCTGGAAGAAAAACAAAACCAAAACCAAACAAACAAAAAAAGTAACCTGCAGACCATATGGGGATCCCCAGGTGCAGAGGAACCTGAGGGTGGGCACATTGAGCTGGGTTTTTGGGTGAGGTTTTTGGGTGAGGGCCTCCTTTGTTCAGAGCGCTGTACTGATAGTTGCTGTCCGTGGAGTCTCCCTTCCTTACCCTTCCTACCCCATCTAGAATTACGGCAATGGCAGCAGAACACCTTACCTAAATGGCACCCCCATTCTCTGCCTGAGGACAGAACGATGGCGTATCTTTCTCTTCAGCCCTGGAGGACAGGGCTATGGCTATGTTTGTTTGTTTTTGCAATGCTGGGTATCTTGAACCCTGGGCCTTACATGTGCTAGGGCTCCCACATGCTAGGTGAGAGCTCTAGGACTAAGTTACACTCCAGCCCTCTCATCTTAATCATTGTGCCTCACCCTGGCTGCCCAGTGTCCTGCACACAGCCCTGTCCAGAGCAGAGGCTTGATAAGGGTATGTTGAGTGTAACTGCATTTTCAGAACTTCATGGTAGTACAAGCGGAGAGGGCAGGTCCCTGGAGCAGACATGCTGTTTGCCAATTCCCTGACCTCCTGCAGGGCAGTCATTTACCACCGAGCCTAGATTTCCTTGACTCTCAGAGGGCAGCAATATGCCAAGTGCCTAGCGCAGTGCCGAACTCCTCTTAGGTATTTAGTCAGGGTCAGCTTCCTGGTCCTAGTTGTTTTTCCCTTGCAGTTGACTTTAGCCAGATCATGGTTTTCATGAATTATTTTTCATTCATTCATTCCTTCATTCATTCAGCTAACTACTTCCAATTGAGCTTCTGGGATGTGCCAGCCACTGTAGGAAATTCTGATTCATCATGTCATTTGAAGTCACTTCTAGGAGCTGGTTCAAGTGTGTAAGCATGCTTTAGGCCTCATGGGGAACAAAGGATCCTGGTGAGCTGTTGAAGTTGACTGTATGTGCACTGTGTATCTATGTATGTATACACACACACACACACACACACACACACACACACACACACACACCCACCCCAGACCTGGCTGCAGGGCAGGAAAGTGACCCAAGTAAGGCATGGTAACGCTTGCCTGTAATCCCAACGCCAGCTATTAGAGAGCTTATCTCTCCTTCCCCATCTCCTCGCTGCTGTTGAAATGCCTTCTCCATCCCTCCCGGTCCGCTGAGCCTCTCTCCTATGCTTTCCAGGGTTTCCATTCTTCTTTTTTACTACCCCTTGCTGGTGGGGTCGCCTAGCTATCTAACTGCCCCCCTTCCTGCTGAGGCACGGGCAGTTTTCCTCTCTTGCTTGGAATGCATCTAATTTATTAGTTAATTTCAACTAATGAGAATATATTGGGTAACATTCTGTAGACCACACAAAAGAAATATCAGACTTGATCCTTGCCCTCATCGGACATGGAAATTGGCCTGTGTGACCCAGAGAATGTGGCCAGAGAGGAGGACTTGGTGGCTGCACAGATTGGAGGGGACAGGAGGGCGCTGTTATCTGTTCTTCAGAGGCTTTGCAGGCTCAGCCGGAGGTTTGGTTCTGGACAGATAAACATGCCTGCTCCTCTTCTGGGACTACCCCAGCACTCCCACTACCAGATCCTTGCACTGTCTCATTTCCCCTGGGAGGGCAGCTCCGAGGGGCTGGGGCAGAGCCTGGGCCCCCCAGACAGCTGGCTGACAAGGGCCCGCTGGGACTCGGCTGGACTCAGGCGTCCAGAGGCGGATGATACTGGAGCCGTGACAGTTGGTCCCTAGATTCCTCACCCAGTGGCGCCAGCTCTGGTTTCGGTTGGGAGGGGGAGGGGCATCTGGTGCCAGCCAGGGCCTGGTGCTCCCCTGGGTGGGAGCAGAGGCAGTAAACATACCTTCATAGGCTGTCAAGAAGGGCTTCTTTCACTGCCCTTTGTGCCCCAAATTGTGCTAGGTACCAGTAGGAGATCCAGAAGCACAAAACACAGTCAGACACAGGTGATGGATATGACACAGAGCATAAAACATTCTGTGCAGAATGTGAGCTAGAACAGAAGTTGAGTGAAGCCAGGTGTGGTGGTGTACACCTGTAATCCCATCACTTTGGGAGGCTGAGGCAGGAGTATTGCCACAAGTTCACGGCCAACCTAGACTATATAGTAAGACCCTGTGTCAAAAAACAAAACAAGGAACTGCGGAGCTGAGCATGGTGGTGCACACCTGTAATCCCAGCATTCAGGAGGCTGAGCCAGGAGGATCGTTGCAAGTTTCAGACCAGCCTGGACTACAAAGTGAGCTCAAGGCCACCCTGAGCTGTATAGTGAGACTGTCTCAAAAAAA